AGTCGCATCGCAGCTTCAGAGCGTAGGGCACTCCCCGTGGCTACTACGTGAAACGAGTGCATGAAGAATCCAAAGGACACCTCCATATTGATTAGGCCTATACATCGGTGAGGTTGAAACTCTTTGAAATAGGTTTAACATTCGACAGAGACAAATAATATTTGCATGACAACTTTAAGTACGGTTTAAAACTCTTTCAAATACTTAAAACATTACCTAGATTATAAAAAATATAAGTTCGAGCGGTTGTATGTACGTACATACAACATTAAATATGATCGGATTGTGCGTGAGCTTTTGGTACAGTGGTAAATTCACGTTGTACATAATACTTCTGTACGTAAGTTCGGAACTCAGTCGGACAATATAATTAAATTTATTTATTTATTTATTTATTTATTTTCCGTTACATGTTATGTGCGGATAGTAACTTGACACGTAAAGAAAAAAACATTTTCCAAACGGCGAACAATTTTCTTAAAAAATTAAAAATAATAGTCTCGTACTTTCGTGATTTAACAATCACTTTCAAGAAAATGAATGAAACTGCCATTAAACAATGAAAGCCAACAGTAAAACAGCGATATTAAGATGTGCTAGCTAGTTTTTTTGTGGGTCTATGAAAGTTACAGGTTGTTAGCAGTTTTACGAAATGGGTTCGTATTTACTGTTCGAACCACACGCTGCGCACCCACCGAGAATGTCAGATGCTAGTACGCGAACTGCTGCCGTGTAATATGAATCTTCCATGGCAGCTCATATAGCGGCTGGTATACCGGCTCGTGCACCAGGGCTTGTACAAGACCAAGTACGGCTGCAGGTATCGTGTAATATAGGCTTTATACTCACGTTTGCGTATCCTATCAGGTTGTCCAGGAGCAAATTTAACACCTTAAGAAGCTGTATCACCTCTTAAACAGAAATCATTAATTTTAGTGTTCTAGCAGAATAGTCAGGGTCATTAATAAAAAGGTCTCATTATATAACTATTGCATTTATGGTTTATGTGAACATTTTTTTACCTGATTGTTAATGTGTTTCCTTGTCATTAAAAGGTGAGAATGAATTAATATATAAAAGTTTGTAGTAAGTTAATTGTTACATAAATATGCGTTAGTTCATACACTATGTCAGTAATGATGCGTAAAGTAATTAACTGAGATTTTATTCCTCCTCTTCCAACTGAGGGATTTCTTACTCTTGAACGCAAACTATACCCGACACTATGTTCAGCTATTTTCTCACGAATTTTTCCTTTCAAATAACGCGACGGTTCCCAAACGTCGTCGGTTTCTACATTATCATAACACTCACTATCATAGAGGGTGCTGTCGTCCCTAGGGCATTAAACACATATTTCCTCTACTTCACCTATTTATGCTCATTCTGTAATGTCTGCTGAAATTGGGCGTGACTTTGAGCCTATATTTTCTTCAATATTTGCCTCACTTAATTCATTATCACTGTCACTATCGTATAATTTATCAACTGATTCCATTTCATCAATAACCTGCGGGGCATTTTCCCTACATATTGTGTCTTTCTTACCTAGACACGAGCTCCTTGCCTCTGTAGAATTGTTAGATAACTTTAACCTGTCACTGTGCACAATAACTTTACTCTTGTCTAATAATATTTCAAATGTGACTGAGCTCAGTTTTCTCAAAACTTTATGAGGTCCAGACCAAAACTTATGAAACTTAGATATTCTACCTTTATTAACACTGGCGTGTGTAGATACACGTAATCACCTACCTCAATATCTGGTGATTTGGATTTCTTATCATTATACTCCTTTTGTGTCTCAAAATCTACTTTATTTCTTTCGCTAGTTACTGTCTTTGCAGTTTGATCTGGAATTGGTATCGCTTCACAATACCTTATGAAATAATCAATAAATGTCAACACATATTTATTCTCTCTCTCGCTCGTCGGTAAGGGACCTAAAATATCTAGAGATACCAACTGAAATGGGTAATTTAACTGCGATAAAGAACCTAACGGTACTTTCGTCATTTTCGTACTTTTTCTCCTAAAACAATCATTGCACCTCACAATATATTCATCCACATTTGTTCAATGTTGGCCACCAGTATTATGATTTGAGGAGGTTGTGAGTTAGTTTCACTCCTTGGTGAGCAGAAAATGGAGTGACATAGCGATGATTAATTACTCTGGCCACGAGCGACTTTGGAACAACTACTGAAATTTTGTCCTCTTCACTTTTGTATAGGATGCCTTCCCTATCAATAAAGAAATTTCCCTTATCTGCTTTATCAATAATACTTTGACATGTTTCGTCTTCCCTCTGTATTTCTTAATTATTTCTCCAGTTAAATCTTCTGAATTTATCGCATTTACCATTCGCGACAAACAATTTGTATTCGTGTGCTTCTTGTCCGGTTTATGGATTACTTCAAAATCAAACTCTGCCAACCGAAGGGACCATCTCGAACTAGGGTCTTTCAAATTCAATAACCATATCAATGCAGTGATCTGTAATAACAGTAAATACGCTCTGAACTGTTCGTAGCAAAAAGTAAATCGCACAGTTCCTTTTCTGTTCTACTGGAATTCCTTTCCGCTGAATTTAACTGTCTACTGGCATAGACGATTGGTTTTTTGTGTCAGTTCCTCATCTGAGACAGGACAGTGCCTACAGTATAATTACTAGCATCTGTATGTAATCACAATAAATGGTTGCGAAAAATCTGGATACACAAGAATTGGATATGAAATTAATTTTTCTCTTAACATTTTGAAAGCTTCTTCCTGTTCTGCTCCCCATAAAAATGCTCTTGCTATATCCACGAAATTCGGTACAAATTTTCTATAGTACTGAAATAAACCGACCACTGGGCGAACTTCTGTGACATTTTTAGGTCTGGGGAGTTCTTTAATTGCTTGTTGATTTTTCTTATTTGGTTCGACGCCTTTTGAACTTACAACATCTCTAAGTATTCTACACTGTCTTGTACAAATGAACACTTATTAGACTGAATTCGCAAATTAGCTTCCTCCAATCTTTCCAATACTTTACTCATGCGTTCGGCATGTTCTCTCACAGTATTACTGAATATTATAATGTCTTCAAGCTATACTAAACACTGATCACCTAACAAACCTGTCAGAACATAATTCACCATTAACCTCTCAAATGTTGCTGGGGCATTGCACAGTCCAAACGGGAGTCTATTAAATTCAAATTTCCCCATGAATGTAGCAAAACTAGTTTTTTTCTTTATCACTCTCTTCTAACTCGATTTGGAAATAGCCACTCGCTAAATCCTATGTTGAAAAATATTTAGACCCGTGCAAGGAATCTAATGTCTCCGTATCATTCGGAATAGGATAAGGATCCTGCTTTGTAACTTTATTAAGCTGACGGATATCTATGCAAAATCTCATTTTATAGGAACCGTCTTTGTTTTTCTGTTCCACAATAACTACGGGAAACAGCCAATGTGATTTACTCTCTGAAATAATATTTTTATCAACCATGTCATTTATTTGCTCTGCAATTACTGGTTTCAATGAATGCGGTACCCTGTATGGATTCTGTTTTATTGGCCTGGCCTCTCCTGTATCTATCTTATGTTTCAATAAATTTGTGCGCCCGAAATTCGAACTACCTTTTACTTGAAATATTTACGCAAACTACAATAACACTGGGAACATTATATTATATCACTATTACTCAAATGTTTCAATTTATCTCTGACAATTTTCTCTACCTCCATAAATTCATCATTAGTTAATTCTGGTAAAACTTTACCTTTCCGCTTCACTGATTTACTATTATCGGCCATGCATTTTCAGTTTTGTTCATAAAAGCAATTAATTATATTGGAAACCTATTTTTGAATTTTATGTAAAGCAACTTCATAATATTTGTCAACTATGTCATTCTTCTTCGTCGACATGTTCTGAATGTGACAGCTTACTTAATTCTGAAAATTGTAATCTACCAATCCTGATGTGTCAACATCACTTTTACCGTCAAAGGTATATTTATTGTGTAACTAATTTTCTGTGTCACCTTTTGTTATTTGTGGTAGTCGCGGCATTCGCTAATGATTGCCTTAAATTATTGTGTAGCGGTTCGCCAGCATGGGCCTCAGATGAGCTCAATTTTGGCTTCGGAGTTGAGGTCTGGTCGTTCTCGGAGGATTTTCCTCGCCGCCCTTTCTCCTTTGATTTATCTTCTCGATCGGAAATGTGTTTCTGATCTGCTATTCGTGCATCACCAGGCACAGTAGCACAGCTTCAGCAAGCTGTGCTACTAACAATCGTATTGGACTGACCCTTGAAAATTTAACCGATCTTGGAACTATTCTAATATTTGTTAATTTTTATGGTTGTTTGGACAATTCCTGAGTGACAGTGCCATACTAAATTTTAATTAATTTTTATTTGAAAGCCTAATAAAATAAAGGCAGTGTAGTGTGTGTGTTAATTTTCTCGGCCAAAATGGCCACTTACGATAAATCATTTTAGTAATTTCAATTTCACACGGGATCCCGAAGTAGTAATGTGAAGTAATATTTAAAAAATTTAAAAAAAATGTGTGAAACAAAAAATACTAATTTAAAATTAGATAAATATCTAGATATATTTCTGTTATACCCTTTGTTCTCAAAGATTTTGATTGTTTGTTGGAAATGATAAAATCTTTTAAATAAAATAAAAAGTAATGATGTCACTTGAGATGAAATTTTTTTTATGAAAATGGCAGCTATACCTAGCACCTCATTTGCATAAAATCGAATTTTCTACATTACTTACCAAGTGAATATTGTTTTTTTTAAGTGATATAAGTTGTAAGAAACTGAATTTTGAGTAAGGCCTTTTACAATTCTTTACTAACATTAAATTATGCACAACCGCACCGCAACTGGCCCTCGGGCGTTTCCTTTCTTGTGGTGTTGTTCAGGGGAGAATGATTTTGGTAGGTTAAGCCCTGCCAAAAGTCTTGCCCGTAAATACCGCCACAAGATGTTGTGTGTGTATTCTAGTGCTTAATATCCCCGCCTGTCATGCGGGAGACCGGGGTTCGATTCCCCTGTCTCACATGTCTGCATCTCCTGCTCTGGGAATAAATAGTAAATTTTTTAGGGAGAAAGGGAAATTTTTAGGAAATTTAGTTGATTTTTTGTAACTAAGTAAAACTCCAACATGGCGGCCAGCCGGCGCCTGGCACCTGGCTGTCAGGTGCTGACGGTCCAGGCTCATCGTTTACCTTCTACTGCTTATGTTTCTGTGATTTGAATGTTCGCCACAATTCCAACAAAATACAAAGGCCAGTCACATAAATTTAAATAAATAATACATAAACTTAAAAAAAAACTTTAAAACCAACCTTTTATTTATAAATGCACTAAAAAAAGAAAAATAATTATAGTAGTAACTGATTTTTTATAACTTGTAAGATGTGGTTGAACAGCTGTGATAAACTTTACTATAGGCTGTTCACGGTAAAGTGAGCACTTTTTAAGGCCCTTATAAATGTTTCCTTTCATCCAATTTCCATCTTCCTGATGCTTTTTAATGTTAACATTGCAATGTGACCAATAAACACAATGCATACATTTAACCACCATCAAAATTTAATGCCTAAGGCTGCAATAAGATGTATTTATTAGAGGTTAATGTATGTCGGGTGTGCCTTAAAAAGTGTTCACTTTATCGTGAACAGCCTATACAAATTAATATATTTGTATCAATTTATATTTAATATATAAAAGCTTGGCGCAATATAGAACGTATACCTCATTTGCGTAAGCGTTGTAAGCACATTACTTGCGTAAGGCTTTCAACTATTCACATTATAGAATGTATAACTCGTTTGCGTGAGCGTAGTAAGCACATATCGCGTGGAAGTCTCTTAACTATTCGCAATATAGACCGTGTAAAACATTTGCGCAAACATTGTAAGAACATATATTGCGTACGGCTCTTAACTATTAGCGCCAAAATTTTATATATTAAATTTAAATTGATACAAAAAAATTATTTTGTAGTAAAGCTTATTATGGCTGTTCGATCACATCTAACAAGATATACAAATCTATTAATACTATAGCTACTTTTTTCTTTTTAGTGATTTTATAAATAAAAGGTTGGTTTTACATTTCTTAGTCTCTACAATTATTTTCTGTTCTTATTATAGTTCCATAATAATGCAATTAGTGACACTACAAAGACTAAAAATGTGCAATTAGACACTGGTGGCCCCTTCTACACTTCGGACTGCAACCTAACGAACAGTAGTGCGCTGCAGGCAGACTGCACGCCAGTTCATAGTTCAGTGCACCGTACATGCAGACAATGTAAGTTGAATAAAAGCTTTTAATAAGTAATTAAGTAAGTCTAGAAAACAGTAAGTACCAATTCATAGAAACTTGAGCGAGATAAAAGTTACGGTAGGCCTAGTTGTGTGAACATTCCCACAATCTCTCAAGTTGTCGCTGCTACGTACAAAAATAGGCGACATGAGTTGCGTGCTTGGATTCACTGTGCCTTTTCGTTGGACCTATTGTTCCTTCGATAAATTTTTATTACAAGTGAGGCCGTCCTTTTAACGAAATAACCCAACACTTATAAATAACAAGAGGTTAAATACTACTGTTCTTTCCCCCACAGTTGTAACAGGGTTAAACACAGTCTAGGAAAAATAATAACGTGTATTACGTGTTGTGTGCTAGTCGTGTATAAAAAATATGTTGACAATGTAAAATAATAACTGTAAGAAATATTGTCAATAAAGACAATGTTAAAAAGTCATAAAGCTGACCAAAATATGTTTATATGGCTAATTGTGAATATTCGTATGAAATGGTTTTCGAAAAATGACACAATTCTTTAAACATTTGAAAAAAGGAAACAAAGCATTTGACAATTTAAACAATGAAGTCACATGGCAGTGTGTATTTTTACATGCAGCGGAAGGATACGAGATCGGTAACCAAAAGTAGAACTTTAACAGGTCTTCAGAAAAGTGTGAAGTAACCGTAAATTACCAATTGTACCGAAATCGTTGGTCCCGTGAAATGGGGTAGTATATTAATACATATGCACGACAGCATAAGGAAAGAAAACTGTCAGACATATGAGTAGATGTATAATGCGGGTACCAACGCAGGGCACCTTTTCATCGAAAACCAAGCAATTTTAAGCCAAATTTCATTTTCAAGCAACTTTTACAAGTTTTAAGAAACCTCATTTGACATCAATTTTCAACCCTTAAAAACAAGCAAAATTAAGCCAAAACCAAGCAAATTTTCCAATATTTCACAAAAATGGCGTGCAAAACTTTTCGTACTATAAAAAGAAGCAATTTTCATCGAAATCAGTCAATTTTACCCCAAAATAAAGTAAATTTTGACGTTTTCCAGAAATGTCAGTTTTGCAAGCAACTAATCTAAAACAAGCAAATATATGCAAAAAAACAAGCAAAATAAACTGAAAATCAAATTAAATATTTAAAATATTCTAATTAAGAGAACTCTAGAGCATGTATAAATGTTCCATTTTCATTCCTTTTAAACCATTATAAGACATTAAAACTTCCTTCTCGCTTAATAGTTTCAAAGCATTTTGATATATTATTTTCACATAGCTCTCTGGTAATGAAATTTTAAATTTGCAATCTAGAATACAATAATTTTTATTACCAAACTTAGATTCATAAATTTCAAAATCTGTAGCATTAAACTATTAGTTTTCTTATAGATCTTGTAGTTTGGCAAATAAATTGTTCAACTTGTTGAGTAGAGTCTCTATTTTTGTGTTATTTATATATAAAAAAAAAAAATTATTAAAGAAAAATATTTTTCCATTCTCTTAATAAATAAATTTTCTGTACAAATAAGATGGAAGTTATGCTCAAAATGGAAAATAATACCATGCCTAAGCAATGTAAAAAATGTGATGAAGTGTTAAACATTGAATATTTTGCATCACATAAACACACAAAAGATAAACATATTAACACATTAAAAAAATGCATCACCGATTATGCCAGAAATTTTTATGATTTAAATAAAGAGAAAGTATTATGCTAATGTGGAAATATGTTTCTAAACTATACCTCAAAACGCATAAAGATAGTAAATTACACAACAGAAAAGAAATTCAACAGGATGATTATTAAACTAAGACATATTGTGTAGTATGTAATGAGAATAAATCTATCGATTAATTTTATCCTCATAAAGCAACTATAGACTAACATACACAAATTTAAAAAAATGTTTTAATGAGAATTTATTACGTGAATGTGGAAAATATGTTTGTATTATATATCTCAAAGAGCATAAAAAAACTAAATCACATAATACAACAGTATATATTCTAAATGAAACTCAACATGATGATTACCCGACAAAAACATGTACAGTGTGTAAAGAGAATAAAACTATACAATTATTTTATCGTCATTAAAATACTAAGGATAAACATACAACAATAAGCAAATAATTTTGTAATGAGAAATATTATCACAGAAGAAGTTAAATATATTAAAAATTACCATCAATTTTTTAAGCAATTTTTCAACTTCATTCCAGCATTATCATTATTTTTTACATTTCTATTCTTTATTTTTTTTATGTTAATAAACTTTTTCCTTACTAAATAAAAGCAATAACAATGATGACGAACAAACTTGCAGTTGAGTTGGGTGAGAAGACAGTGAGAGAATTAAGGATTATAGGTAGAGATTTAAAAAATAAATATTGGTATAATCAAAGGGAAGATGAGTTAATTAGACATTGGTATGATCTAAGGAAAGATGATTTAATTATAGCTATTATAGAATTTATTATATACGAGCAAAGAGAAAGAAACTTTGCAAATTTACCATTTTAAAATTACAATATAAAATATAGAAACACTAAAAAAAAAAAATGCTTAAAAAATCTTTACATTCTCTAATAATTTATTTGTTAAGCCTAGAAATAAAAGTAAGAGGTTATCTCAATGGATAACAAAGAACAATTTTACAAATTTACCCTTGTCAGATGCCAATATCAATTAATTATATAAGCAAGACAGGAAATAATTAAAAGAAATATTTCCCTATTCTACTAATGAATTAGTAAACAAAAGAAATAGAAGAACCAATATAAATTACTTAGTTAATGAAGTTATTCAAGGTAGGATACCAACACATAACATTGAAAATAACTTTAATTTAGTAAGGCCAGATCATTTCTTTAATTCATTAAAAAATAATGTATTTGAGATAATATATGATCATCTTGGAACATTTAGAGGGCTGAAAACTAACATTAATTTATTTACCAATTGTTGCAAGCAGGAAAATAATGAAGTAGAAAGATTTACATTTCAGTCATTTAATCATATATTGAACTACAAGAAGTGATCAAGAAGAAACAAGCATGTATTATTGTGAAAAATAATGATCAAAAATGGCTTCTTTGGTCAATAAAATCAGCATTGTATCCAGCAGAAAAATATTCGCAAAGAGTTACTAAATATAGAAATATTGGACTTAATATTGATAAAGTAATTGATAAATATGAATATCCTATAAAAATTGATGATATACCAAAAATAGAAAATCAAATTGATACATATATAAATGTATACTCTATTGAAGATAAATCTAAAGTATATCCACTAAAACTCACAAAGAATAAAAAGGATAAGCATATAAATTGACTTTATTTCAAAAATGATACAAATTCACACTATTGTTGGATAAAAGATTTATCTAGATTAGTTCCAGTACAAAAAATCATCATGAAAGTAAAACTTATATATGTGACATGTGCCTTCAAGTTTTTTACTCTCAAGATCAATTTAATAAACATACGGAAAACTGCTCTAAAAATGAATCAGTAAGAATAACTTTACCTTCGAAAGGAAAGCAAATATCTTTCAAAAATTATAAACATGCAATGATGGTTCCTTTCGCAATATATGCAGATTTTGAATCGATTCTAAAGAAAATATCAACCACTAAAGCAAACCAAAGAGAATTAAATCAATTTAATTTAATCAAAAAATATTCAGTTTTAACAGAGAACGATATTGATAATAACATATA